CCACCGAGGGGGCGCCCGGTGAGGGATGCGCAAGGAAGCGAGCCCCGAGGGCCAAGGGCGGGGGGCACCCGCCCGGCCCGAGAGGGGCCCGAGGGGAGAGGCGAGGAGGACGCACCTCAACGCCCCTCGAACGGGCCGCAGATCTGCCTGTCACGGGACACGGCCGCCATTCTCGAAATCCTCCAGGGTCGCAGCTACCCGCCGCTGAGGTGCAAATAGTAACGAGTGATGGGTTCTTCGCCCGGTGTTGGTGCAGTTCGATGGTGTGGTCCAGAGTGGACATCCTGCCACGCAGAATGCTGGTCTGCCAACGCGGAGACTGGCACCTCTGTGGGGGCGGTGTGCGTTGGTTCCTCCAGGGTCGCAGCTAACCGCCGCTGATGTTCGGGCGCCTGCGGTGTGACAAAACTGTGACCTAGCTAGGTCGAGCTCGCCGCCAGGCAGGCGGGGGGGGATGCTGGGGCCCACCTCCTGCCCAGGGCCCGCGAGCCGGCTGTCGTCATCGGACAGCGAAGTCTGGGAGCCAGGGGGGCCTGCTTGCGCGGGCCAGGCGGCTCGCCGTGCCAGTGAGGGTGAGATGTCGGGTGCAAGTGGGAGGTTCCCCGGTGTCAGCCCGAAAAGGTGGATGGTGGTCCACTTTTCCAGCGTGGGCTGTCTAGCTAGGCTGCGCCGTGGGTGAGTTGTGGTGAGCCTTCGCCCCAGCGGAGGGTGGCCACGGGTATTGCGGCCTGAGCCGGGCGCAGCAGGGTGAAACAAGCCCCTTCGGGGCAACGGGTGGCTGGAGGTGGGGGGGCCGGCCATGGGCAGGTCCCTGCTATGGGCGCTGCGGTAGGCCGTGTCGGGAGCACGTCAGCCTTGGGTGTCGGAGTCACTCTTAGCCCACCAGCGGGCCCGCTTGTCCGAGTCGCGGTCGTCCCCTCGTGGAGAGTATCGTTTGCCCCTGCCTTTCCAGTCGGAGTCCGTCCATGGGGTATCTCGTCGCTCCCACGAGGTCCACTGTTGCCAGCCCCGCCGCTGGCTGGGGGTGGCAGTTCCAATGGCTCCCGCCCAGGGGTCCTGTGCAGCTGCATGCGCGACTGTTCGGCTCTCGGCAGTCCAGGGGGCTGGCTTGTCGCGGCTGTCGTACTCGCGTGGGGCGTGTGCGTGAGCGTCGTGCCGCACGGAAATCATGTGCTTGTCCGTAACTACGACCCAGTCTACGCCGAGCCTGAGTTCTCGGAAGTCCGAGCAAGTTTTGGGTGTGTTGAGTTTGGGATTGCTCTTGTAGCCTCCCTTGGGGTCCTGGCTCAGGGCAGCCCGCTTAACCCACGCATGCCAGATGCCGTTGAAGGCGCCTCCCAAAGTCTTTTGCAGGCGTGTAATCTTGTCCTGGATGGGTTCGTCCCTTTCCACGTCAGCAGCTGCAATAGTGCATCTGTACATGGGGCCGCCACCCATGGGGTCGTTAAGGTTCTCGTAGTATGGCTGGGCACCCCTGCTGTCCTTCCAGGGTGCCCAGCGGGCCTCCGTGCGCATGAGGTTGCCCCTTGGTGACTTGGCGGCGCGCCCACTCCCGTCTCCAATATCTTCCGAGGCGGGACGGTCGCGTCTTCGGTCCCATGAAGTGCGGTTGGGCGTGCGCTCGATCCTGGCTCCCGCGCGATCCCAGGATGATGCGCTTCCCCTTCCGGAGCTGTCCTTGGCACTCCGGAGTTCCAGGGCAGTAAACATATGACCAGTATTACTCAGAAGAAGAGCGCCCTGCGAGAAGGTGACCTTGGGCTGCGAGGAGGGTAGAGGAGGAGAGAGGTCAAAAGAGGGAAGGGCAGGCGGTTCAGGAGAGGGAGGAACGGAAGGCGGAGGAAGAGGGGGAGGGGGAGGAGGACGAGAAGGGAAAGGAGAGAGGAGCAGGGAGGAGCGGGCGGAAAAGAGAGCGACCGCCGGGCGAGGGCGCAGCCGGGGGCGGCCGGGAAGCGGCCAGCAGGCCGCCAAGCAGACCGGCCAACAGGAAGCTGCCAAGAAGCCGGTGGATGGAGGTCGCCACGAATTAAACCAGACATGCTCGCGCCGTGGCAAAAGTCAAAACGGAAGGTTTTTTGCAGTTTTGGGTCTCGGGGGGCCCTCGCCGGGCGCACGCACCGTCAAAACACGACTGAGAACGACAAATCGGTCCCAGGGACAGTCGGAACTTCTGGGGGCTCCGTGCTGAACACAGCAGGACGTCGAATGTGTGGGAACGGGTACTGAGGATTTTGGCAGCTTTCGGGGTCTTGGCGCCCGGGGCCCTGGGACGGAGCATCCACGAGACTGCGCAGGGCAAAGAGCTGTGGTCCTGGGGGAGGGCCCTGAGGTCCAAGAGGTGTCCGTCCAGATCCCCGCTCGCTTCCTTGCCAAGGCTCGGGGGTTGCCAAAGGTGCCCCTGGCCCAAGGTGCCACCAGCTTTTCCGCTCAATTTTGGAGCCCCTGGGACCTCTGGGCCTCGTGAGGGCTGCTCTGGAGGCCTTGGTGGGCTGCTTGGACATCCTGGGGGCACCTGGGGGGCCAGGGGCACTTCTAGCAACACCCGAAAGGCGGAGGAGGACGACTTGGACCAGCACGATGCGGCAGACGCATAGAGTTCTTGCGGCTCCGCGGGGATCTCTTGGGTCGGCGCAGGCCCCCCCCCTCACTACAGCCGGACCGAAGTATGAGATCGAGGTCGGTTCGGGGAGGGTACCCTGGTGTTCTTTGTGCTCGTTGGATGCTCTTGGGCATCCTGGCGAGGGTCCCCTTGGGTGCCCTGTGTGTTTTGGCTGGCGGAGGGCCTCACGTTCTTGAAGGATGTCCTTCTGGTCCAGCTGCGAGAGTGCGCCCCCTCCTTGGCGCGTGGAGCGCGCCAGAGGCGCCGCCAGGATCCGCTACGCGTAAGGTCGGCGTCACCCCAACATACTTATACTATATGTGTGTCGCCCCCCCCCCCCCCCCGGGGCGTCGCGCGCACCGAAAAATCTCATAGTACATGCGTCGTAGCGGGCGCCTTCTGGCCACGCCGCTCGGGAAACGATGCACTACAAGATGGGTATGCTATATCTATCTATCTATCTATCTATCTATCTATCTATCTATCTATCTATCTATCTATCTATCTATCTATCTATCTATCTATGTATCTATCTATCAATATCTATCTATCTATCTATCTATCTATCTATCTATCTATCTATCTATCTATCTATCTATCTATCTATCTATCTATCTATATCTATATATCTATCTATATCTATCTATATATCTATCTATCTATCTATCTATCTATCTATCTATCTATCTATCTATCTATCTATCTATCTATCTATCTATCTATCTATCTATCTATCTATCTCTCTATATATATATGTATATATCTCTCTATATATATGTATATATATATATATATATATATATATATATTCGGGTCGGACGCGCGCCTCCAAGGAGGACACTTAGTATTCGCATGTCCCCGTGCGTCCCATAGTGCCCTCTCTCGGCCTTGACGTGAGGCCCCTCCTTCTGCCTTCCCCCCTCTGTCAATGAAAGCTGTGCGCGGCCCGCTCAGCTTCGACCGGAAGAGGCTCGCTCTCGACCCGCGGATCAAAAGAAAAAAACTGTGCGTCCCGTCGGGGATGGACAGACCCCCCTTTACTACAACGTGGTTTAGTGAAAACGACCTGAGGCCCAAACCTGGCGGGCGCAAGCCTGAAAAATAACGGCCACGGCGCCATCTCGAGAGCCGAAAACGGACAATTCACTAATCGACGTGTCACTGTTGGGGGTTCTGTCCACCCCCTAAGGGGGATCCTTCGCTGGAGTGTCCCGAGCGCGGGCTCGCGGTGGTCCTCCCGGGCACGGGCCTGCGCGCTCCGACGGGGCTTCCCCGCGCCCGCCCCCCCCCCCCCCCCCCCACGAGGCCGCGCGCGCGCCAGAGGCCACTCCTGTCCAGGGTCAGTCTTGCGTGTCGGTGACGTGTGTGTGTGTGTGTGTGTGTGTGTGTGTGTGTGTGTGCGTGTGCGTGTGTGTGTGTGGTGTTGTGTGTGTGTGTGTTGTGTGTGTGTGTTGTGTGTGTGTGTGTGTGTGTGTGTGTGTGTGTGTGTGTGTGCGTGTGATGTGTGTGTGTGTTGTGTGTTTGTTGTGTGTGTGTTGTGTGTGTGTGTGTGTGTTTGTTGTGTGTGTGTTGTGTGTGTGTGTGTGTGTCCCCAGCGCCCCGCGCGACCCTCCGGAAGATGCCTTCGGGCGACGGAGCCCACTACGAGCCTGATAGGACGGTGGCGGATGATGCGAGATGTCATATTAGGGCGCATCTGGCGTTCTCTCTGGACCTCACCGCCAGCAGTTCTGGCCAGGCAGTGTGCCAATCAGGTTTGCAACCTGCCATTACATCTGGTTGGGTGGCGCGCAGTTGCCATCACGTCAAGCTGGAATCGATCATCACATAAAAAGCCTCCCTTCCCGGCAACGTGAGGGTGGGCGTCTGGAGGCTTCTCTTGCCCATCCCGCAGCCCGATGGCTACGGTATCTTTCCTGGTTTGTTGTGCTATTTCCTCCTGCTTTCGGCTTGCGCCCTCCTGCACTTCGTCGGCACGCCCGCCACGGTCTGTACGACCTGAGCGGCGCTGCGCTCTCCTCCCCTCTGCTCTCCCGGCGTCCTGCCGTGTCACAGTTCGCTTCCGGCGCGTCCCACCCGTAGCCCGACCGGCGCCTGCACCAGTCGGGGGCGGAAAAGAGGGGGGTGATGACTAAGGGGGGGGTGAATATCATGGCGGGTACCATGATGTTTCCCCAGATTTCATGGCGCCTCTTCTTATTTCATTACGTCCCTGGCCCCCCCGCTGGGCCGCGCACGTGCCGCCGGCCATGATTTGCACCCCCCCCTCTCGGACACCCCCCTCTTGGCCGCTCCCGAGCCAGCTTCGGCTCGCTTGCGCCCGCCGGCTCTTGAAGTCTGTGACTGCGGCTCCCATGATTCTTTCTCGAGTTTGGCTCATCTGTCTGCTTTGCGGCCGGCCATGTCATTGGCCTCGGTGGGCTCCGCTGCGCGGCGCGCCGCCGCCAGCGCGACCGCGCGAAGATCGGCGCTTCCACCTCCTGTAGTTTTAGCGGAAGCAGCGATGGGAATTGCCTGGTCAGCAGCGTTGCTCCAGTGGCTTGTGTCTCGGCCCTCGCCGATGTTCTAAAGCGTTTCGAGGGCGACCTCGCCGCGTGAGCTTCGGGAGTTTGGCGCGGCACATCGAGGTGTATTTCTTTCGGGCTCGGCCCCAGATGGCCGTTGTTGTTTTGTTCTGCGTCTGCGGGTGGGCCCCTGGCGCCGGCGCTTGGCTTCGCCCAGTGAGCAATAGTCGGGTGTTGCTGGACGAGGCCCTGGCCAAATTTTCCCCAGCTTTTCCCAAGGAGGCGGAGATGGCCCCCAGGACGCCCGCTGGCTCTGATGGCCCCGATGGCGCCGAGGCTCCGATGGCCCCGATGGCGCCAGCATGGCGCGAACAGCCGGGAGCACCCCCGGTGAAGGACCACGTCTGGTAACGGTCCGAAGCGGCTGCCGCCGCAGTGGCCCGCTCGCAGCGCAGGGGCTGGGCGGCAGAGGCGACGGCAGAGGCCTTTCGGCGCGGCGGCCGCGGGGGGGAGCGGGCCGTGGCACCGTGATGCCTCGGCAGTGGAGCGCTAGGAGCAGCGGGTGCCTCGGCGGCGGCGGGCTGCGCCGCCTGGGCGTGGGCGTGCTCGGCGGCCGGGGCCGTGGATGCGGTTCAGGCGTCTTGGAGCAGATGCTGGGGATCATCGGTCGCGAGGGCGTACGCCTCGACTGGTTCTGGGCTGGTCAACGAACCACGAATCGGCGCGTTCCTTCGTTCGTGGGGCGGTGCTTGGTGGGTGGGGCGATGGTCGGTGTGGGCGGGCGGAGTTCGGGCCCGCTTTGAACTGTTGATTGTTCTGTAACCGATGACCGTGCCAGCATGGGGTCTCCTGAGGCGCGTCGTCGATCTGACCAGGCAAGGGCGCCGAACTCCGCAAAACCATGGCGGCACACACGCAAAACGTGTGCGATCACGTCCTGCGCTGCGCAGCGTCCCTGCTCAGGCTGCCTCCTGGTCGGCTGGCGCTACGGACGCGCCGCGGCTTTCGGCGGCCGTGGGGACGCAACTTACCGCGCGGCAGCCCTAGCGCATTCGTCCAGCGACCTGTTTTTTTCAATCCTGGCGTTTTTTTTTTTTTTTTTCCTTCGGCCAGTAGTTGGCGAGGTCCAGCGCGACCAGGGTTCAGCCAGAGTGCACGCCATAATTTTGGGTGGGCCAACTTTGGGACCCGTCCGCGGCCCTGTGGCCTTACATACTGGCTGAACCGTGTTACTGGGCGGGTTTGCGCTGAGCTGGGGTAGTCCACGCCCGCCGGCTTCCAGATGCCGCTTTTGATTTCTGGGGCATTGACTTGGACCTGGGACTAAACATTATTTCCATGGAGCAGATTGGGACGTCCTTGGACCTTTTGGTGCCGCGGATATCAAAACAGACAGAAAACTATTTCAGCCAGCGCGAAGCCCAAACAGTGCGTTGCTGCGCGGAGGAGGTGGAAGCTAAGCGTGGTGTGAGATGTGGAAGTGGGAAATATGCTGTGTAAGCATGTGGTGATGGGTGCGCTATGTGGTGAAATTTAGCGGGTATCCACTGGAAGTGACTCCTAGGGGGTGAACGCGATGCGCTGTAAGCTGTGTAGTGTAGTCCACGCGATTCGGCTCTTGCTTCTCACAGCTAATGCGGCCGTGATCGTTGTGACAGCGGTGGGAGCTCCCCAGCGCTTTTCAAATTCCGCGCTGGCGCGCAGGCGCATAGGCATATGCGGGTTGGTGATTCGGGCGGGTGCGATATCATTATGATGTTGGCAACGGCGGCAACGATGCTGATGGTAGCGACGGCGGTGGCGATGTTTGCGATGACGACGGCCCCCGTCGTAGCAAGAGGACTCCCCGTGTGATGCAAGCTCTGCAGCGCAAGCTCTTCGGGCGCCCGCGGCGCCCGCGAAGCGCCGCGCGCGGCGGCGCGGCGGCAGCGTGGCGCAGCCCAGGCGGGCCCCCCTTGGCGAGCGGGCTGGCCACGAGGCGCCCGAGGCGCCCCACCAGGCGGCACAGGCGGCAGCGTGGCGCAAGCCGGGCGCCCAGGATGCGTCCGCGTGTCGGCCCGGAGTGCCCACCAAGTGCCGCAGGTAAGCGAAGCAACAGATTCCTAGGCGCAAGCGTCGTCTCGGCGAGGAGCCTGTGTCTGCATGGCAGCCGAAGCGTTCGCGCTGGCAAGCAATTTCCGCGCCGTCTTGCGGGATGTTTCCACGGCGCAAAACGCAAGCCTCGCCATTCTCTAGGCTCTAGGGGGCGCTGGCGGTCGGCTTTTGCGGTGGCGTCGGGCGTGCTTGTTGTGCAGTAGCGTTGCTGTCCATCCTTTCTTTGGCGCGTCCAGCTGCAGCCGCGCGGCCCGCAGGCAGAACAAAACACGCGGAGGTGCCCTGCCTGCGACGGAATCGGCGCCGCGCCGCTTGGCGCGCACTCCTGTTCCAGTCGGCGCCGAAGGCACATGTGCACTGCAAGATGTTTCGGGCAAGCGCCCACAGCGCAGTGCTCTCCTGCGGCGCCGTTGTCCCTTGCAGTTGATGGTTGCCGTCGAAGTTGGTTCCTCGCCTCCGCTGTTGAGAAACGCATGGGTGAGTAGTCTGCGCGTTGTCTTCTGCGTTTTCGCCAGCAAGGGATGCGAGAACTGTTTTTTTGGTTGGGGGCCCGCCCGCGCCGCGCCAGCCAGCGAGGTCCACCCAAACCGTCAACAGCATAGGAACACAGCCAACAAACAATCAATCGATCAACCAATCAATCGAACAAACGGACATGCCGACCGACCGAGACAGACGACGGAGACAATGCGACTGACAGACTGGCAGGCAGAGGCAGAGAGACAGACAGGCAGGCAAGGCAAACAGACGGACAGACAGACAGACAGACAGACAGACAGACAGACAGACCGAGCGACCCCGATAAACAGAGAGACAGAGACAGACAGAAACAGACAGAAGCTGACAACACAAGACACGACACGACGAGACAAGACAAGACAAGGCAATGCAAGGCAAGTCAAGACAAGACAGTACAAGGCAAGACAAGGCATAGAGAGAGAATAAGAAAGTGAGAGAGAGGCAGACAGACAGACACAGACAAACAGACAGAGACAGACAGAGACAGACAGGACAAGCAGGCAGACAGGCAGGCAGAGACAGACAGAGACAGACAGGCAGACGGACAGAGACAGACAGACAGACAGAGACAGACAGCCAGCCAGCCAGCCAGCCAGACAGACAGACAGACAGACAGACAGACATACAGGCAGGCAGGCAGGCAGACAGACAGACAGACAGACACAGGCAACAAAGATACATACAGACACACACATAAACAAACAACCAACCAACCAACCAACCAACCAAACAACCAACCAAACAAACAAACACACAAATACACAACCAAACAAACAAACACACAACCAAACAACAAACCAACCAACCAACCAACCAACCAACCAACCAACCAACCAACCAACCAACCAACCAACCAACCAACCAACCAACAAACAAACAAACAAACAAACAAACAGACAACCAAACAAACAAGCAAACAAACAGACAAACAAACAAGCAAGCAAGCAAGCAAACAAGCACACAAGCACATGTATTGCTCGCCGTGCCGAGACGCAGCGCTTCACAATGAGCGCCCGCATGCAATGCACGCGTACGCATGCGCGCGAAAGGCGGGGAACGGATAAGGTGGGGAGAGCGCAGGCGGGGACGGTCCTTCACGCTTTTGGAGGGGGGGGGCCAGCCTGTTGGCAGCGTTCTGCTGGCAGGCGGTTGTTGCCGAGCGCAGCTCTGGATGGTGCTCTTTCCTGGCGCCCTCCACGGAGGGACACCAAGGGACAACACCCAGGAGTGGACCGAGATCCGCAGCGAGTCGCCCGCGCGCCAGGCGCCAACCAGGACAACCAAAGGCGGCCCACGACGTCACCGTCGAGCCGGCCTCGGGCCCGAACTGCTACAGGGGTTTTTTCCTGCGGGAGGACGAGAGACACTCGCGCCATGGGGTGACCCTGCCGATGCATCCCCGCTGCCTTGGCCAGGCCCGTGGGGCCGTCCTGGGCCCAGGAGCGGCGCATGTGCCTGCCTGGTGCTGGTCTTTCTCCTGGGGCCCACATGAATTCCTGCCAGGGGCGCCTGAAATGGACAGACTGCGTCGCCATGATTTCCAGGGGTGCAGGCCAGAGCGAGCCGAGGAAGAATGCAGGAGGCCAGCGGGCGCAAGCGACCACGAACGCGCACCCGCCGCCAGGGGCAGCGGACGTGCGCAGATCGCGTCGCCCTGCCCCGCCAGGGAGGGGACGAGGAAGAGGGCAGGATTTGGGCGACGCAAAAGACACGAACGCGCGCGCGCCGCCGAGGGAAGTGGATGTGCATAGCTCCTCGCGCCGCCCCGCCACGGGGGGTGGCGGGAACGATGGACAGGGGCACGATCGTGCGCGTGACGGTGCACACGCGCCGGGCGGGAGAAACACTGGGACGAGAACACATTTCATGTTACACGCCCTGTTCACTTTTTGAGGACCACGCCAGTACGACGCACGATTGCGACCGCCCCGCCCCCAAGGAATCTGCAGTGCACGGGGCGGTCCATCTTGCAAGGCGGGCGCCAGGCCTCGGGACGGAGCAGAAGACAATCAAAACATGTAAACCTGGGCAGGGGGAGAGGGCACACGTGATTTGAAACATGCCTCCGCCAGGGCCCCTTGCATAGGCGCGCCTGGCGTCGACACTTCCTGGTCCGCAAGTTGTGGGCAGGGGGCCCCAGGAGGTCCAGGACGTCCCAGGGGAGGCGCGCGACCTGCGGCAACACCCACGGCGCCCCCTCCGGCACGCAACTTTTATTTTGGAGGAGGTCGGGGTCCCATGCGGGAGGGCGCTCCCCGACTTGGCGACCATCGGGGGCCCAGCG